CAATTGGGGTTTTGTAGCCATCGAGACCATAGAATATTGAATTTGTGATGGGAAGAATTATTGAGGGACTGATCATCTTTCCATGTCACATTGTAAATTGAGGTCTGTTATAAGGGCAGAGAGAGAAGGAGTTTTGGAAGATTTCCATAATTTAGTAATGTTGGTTTTTGCAGCTGCTAATGTGTGGATAATGATGGTGCGGGATTCGTTAGGGAATTTGTCGATTCCTATATGGAGAAGTGCGAGAGCAGAATTTGGAGCTACTTGGGCTCCAACAACTGTTGAGATCAATTGGAATATGCTGTTCCAATATGATCTTAGAGATTTGCACGTCCAAAGTATATGTAGGGTTGATCCTATTTCTCCGCATTGTCTCCAACAAGCTGGTGAATGGTGAGGGTAGTATAAAGAGAATTTAACAGGTGTAAAATACCACTGGTGTAGTAGAATTTTCATATACGATTCCCAATGGGAGCTACAGTCAGGTCCATAAATATTGGGACATCGACACAATTCTAACATTTTTGGCTCTATGCACCACCACAATGGATTTGAAATGAAACAAACAAGATGTGCTTTAACTGCAGACTGGCAGCTTTAATTTGAGGGTATTTACATCCAAATCAGGTGAACGGTGTTGGAATTACAACACTTTGCATATGTGCCTCCCACTTCCCACCTGATTTGGATGTAAATACCCTCAAATTAAAGCTGACAGTCTGCAGTTAAATTACATCTTGTTCGTTTCATTTCAAATACATTGTGGTGGTGTATAGAGCCAAAAATGTTAGAATTGTGTCGATGTCCCAATATTTATGGACCTGACTGTACATCTAGATGCTTTATGGGTAATGTTAAAGGTTCTTTCCCATGTGTGGGGTTGTATTGGTTGTGAAAAAAGCTTCTCCCAGTTAGATAAAGAGGTGGTTTGTAGGGTAAACAGTGATTTGGTTATAAGCGTGTAAAAGGTCAAAATCCCTTTCTTGGGGTGTTGCGCTTTATTAAGAAAGAGGTATGCAGTAGTAGGAACTTTAACAAGATGCGGAACGTTTATCTCTTGTAAGGAGTGAGCTATCCTTATATATGTGAAGAGTTCACTGTCAGGGAGGTGAAATTTCTCCTGGAGGGTCGTGAAAGAATCTAATTTGCTGTTTGTATAGAGGTCATCTATATGGGATATGCCTTGATTATCCCACTGTAGGAGGTTCAAAGAAGGGGTAATAAAGTGAAGCACGGTAATCGGAGTAGTAGGTATTGCTTTGCATTCTGGTGGGTTAAATGCTAAAAGGTCATGCCAGGCTTGTTGGGAGGCCCGGATGCAAGGATGTTTGGGTAGATTTCTGAGTTGAGATAGATGTGGTAGGAGCAGTATATCACGTAGTGTTGATGTAGGGGGAGGGAGTGTTTCCATGGTAGTCCATATTTTTTCAGTAGTTCGGTGCCACCAAACGTAGAGTTGGTCTATGAATGCGGCATTGTAGTATGACTTTAAGTGCGGGAGACCAGCTCCTCCTCTAGAGGTTGGGCGTAGGAGATTTGTCATGCATCTGGGTTTCTTTGAGTTCCAGAGGAATTTGGCAAATATTGCTTGGAGAAGAAGGTATTGGGGACGGGTATGGGGAGTGTGCGGAATATATAAAGGATTTTAGGCAGTATGCACATTTTTAGAGTAGCTACCCTTCCCAATTTTGATAACGTGGATGTGCGTAGGTTTTTTAGTTCTTGAGGGATGGAATCAAGTAGTTGTTTGTGATTTAAGGCGTAAAGTTGACTTGTCGAGGTGGTGAGTTTAATTCCCAGATAAGGGATGCTGTGGTGTTCCCAGGCGAAAGGGAAGCGTTTGAGAAGTATTTCCTGGAGCTAAGTAGGTATATTAAGATTTAAGATAGAGGATTTAGGCGCATTGAGTTTGTCGTATGATACTTCCGAGTAGTTTTGAAGATGTGTATGGATTGTTTGGAGCGATTTGTATGGATTGGTAATCATTAGTATGGTATTAGTATGATTAGCTGGGTCATCTCTAAGTTTAGAGGCTAATGGTTCAATGAGTAGAATGAAGATTATGGGGAATAAGGGACAGCCTTGTCTAGTACCGTTGGAGATTTGGAAAATCTGTGAGAGAGTGCCATTGGTTAGCACTCTTGCAGAAGGGTTGGAATAAAGGGCAAGGATTGCCGATAGCATCCAGTCCGTGATTCCGAACCTTTGGAGTGTGAGTTTCATAAATTGCCACTGTATTCGGTCAAATGCTTTTTCAGCATCAAGGGATAATAGTAGGGAGGGTTGTTTTGTGGTTTCTATTTTGTGTAAGAGGGAAATGAGCCTCCTAGTTGCTTCCGGTGCTTGGCGACCAGGAACAAATCCTACTTGGTCTGGGTGGATTAGTGTAGGCAAGTGGGGAAGCAATCTTTGGGCTATTAATTTGGCGTAAAGTTTTATATCTGTATTGAGTAGTGAAATTGGTCTAGAATTCTGAACAAGTTTGAGGTCTTTGCCGGGTTTTGGGATAGTTGTGATTATAGATTGAAGCATATCATTAGGGAATGTACCTGTTGAGGCGGCATGGTTAAAAAAATCGGTTAGATGTGGTGTAAGATTCGGGGCAAATGTTTTAGTAAGGTTTTTATAATTTTCTCTATTTCCATGGGAGAGAATGGGGTGGAGATAGAAGTGAGTTGAGATGGAGTAAGGTGGGGTAGATTCGTGGTGGTTAAGAAGTTTTGTATAGATAGTGTTGTCGGTTGGGGTGTGCTTGAGTCGTCTTTGATATTGTACAAAGTCTGGTAGTAAGTTGCAAAAGCGTTAGCTATGTCTTGTTCATTCGTAAGCGAAGTGTGGGTAGTTGGGTGTAGGATTGAGGAGATTTTTGATTTAAGGCGTCTATGTTTAATTATTTTTGTTAAAAGTGAGTTTGCTTTGTTACCTAGGGAATAAAATTGTGATTTCGTTTTTTGAAGGTTGAGGTCATATTTGTAGAGCAAGAGGGTTCGTAACTGGTTTCTGTCTGAGGTAAGGGATGCAGATGTGGAGGTGTTTGGATTTTGTTTATTAATTTCTTTGTTTAGTTTTATGGAGGCTAGAAGCTGATCAATTTGTTGTGATCTCTGTTTAGTGATTCTGGAGTTGAGTTGTATGAGAATACCTCGCGTGTAAGCGGGCCAAAGTGTGGTTATAGAGATATCAGGCGTAGTATTCAGGTCAAAGAATAGGTTATGAGCTTCTAACAAATGTTTTTGATTATCTGAGTTCTTTAATAATGCAGAGTTCAGTCTCCATATGGGAGGGAGTGCTGAGTGTTGTGAGTCGTCCAGGATTATGTTGATTGGAGCGAGGTCTGACCATGAAATGGTGCCAATGTTGGATGACAATACGCTTTGTAGAGTCCATTTATCTGTAATAAAAAAATTGATTCTGGAGTAGGATAGGTGAGAAGGGGAGTAGTAGGTGTAGTCTCTTTAGGTGCTGTGCTGACATCTCCAAATATCGTAGAGGTCATGATCGTGCAGGAAACAATTGAAATTCTGTTTGGGGGATCTTTTGTTGGAAGACGAGTCTAGGAGTGGGTTGCTGATGACATTGAAGTCTCCGCCGATGATAAGTCTGCCTGTTTTTGAGAGGAAATGATGGTATGAAGTTTACGGTATAATCGGGTCTGACGTTCACTAGAGTGTAGAGGATATCGTTGAGTTTGCAGATCAGAATATGATAGCGGCCTTGAGGGTCAACTACTTCTGATACATAATGGATCTGTGTAGTGTCCTTTATAGCTGTAAGAATTCCATTATGTTTCTTGGGATTAGTGGCCATAAAGACGTGAGAGAATTGATGCAGTTGTAGTTTGGGGGTCTTGCTTGTTGCGAAATGTGTTTCCTGTATGAAGAGAATGTCTGCATGGAATGTCCGAGTTTCCTTTTGGAGCATCGATCTTTTAAAAGGGGAGTTCAGGCCATGAACATTTAGAGATGTTATATTAATCATAATGGATATCCTTGGTATGGTTAGTGGGGTAGTAGGGTTGTTGCTTGAGGCGTTGATCGGGGTTGGATGGATATGGTTGTAAGGAGGAGAGTTTTGTAGTCTGGGCAGCGCGGAAATGGCTCGATCGAAGAGTCAAAAGCTGTGTTCCATGTTCATTTGGAAGATTTAATTGAATTGGTGAAATGTTTGGTTGACTGGTGGTGCAGGAGGTGAGGAAAGTGGAAGGGGGTAAAAAAAAAAGCTTGCGTAAAATGCAAGAAACATGTGTAGCTTGGTTTGCTACTTCAAAACTGGGGGTGTGAACAAGCATTGACCGTAGACAAGGTCATGCCAAACAGTGTCTTGTAATGAGAAAATTTTCCTAAGCGGGCCGATCGCCAGAGATTAGTAGAATGAGACATAGTGGAGTACAGCGTCAGAGGTGAGGAGTTTGACGCGGACTGGAGGTATAATGTGTCAGAGTCAGTCTGCTTCCATCTATTGCGTATTCGCAGAGGTGGGTGGTTGAGGATCTGCGGGTATTCTGTTCCATGTCTTCAATAAATCCATGCCCGCTTCTAGGTTTCTAATCGTGTGAACTCTTCCATGGTGTCTGACAGTTATTTTTGTGGGGAAGCCCCATTGGTAACCTATGCCGTGGTTTCGTAAGGCTTTGGTGATGGTAACCAGTTTTTTATGGTTAAGGAGCGTGGCTTTCGATATGTCTGCGTATAGCCTGATATTTGCATGTGATGGGAGTGAAGGGGGGTTTCTGGCTGCCATCATTATCTTTTTCTGATTTCTGAATTATACTATTAACAGATGCATTCTGTAGGTTACTGCATTTAATTAGCAACCCAATTAATTGAATAAGGCCAGTGGATTCAAGGTTTCTAAAATATCCATTAGTAAGATGATTTAGGTTTATATGCTAATGTTTGTTTAAAAAAAATAAAAATTAGGTATTCCATTTCACTCTTGTCTAGTTTAATGAAGATATTCAATTTTACGCTAAATCTTCTTTTTGTTTTTTTTATTACCAGGCCCAACAGTCCTGGAGGTTTTTAACACGCTCTTAAGACATTTGACTCTTAGCGTGGACTTTGAGATGGGGGACCGAAGAAGTTCATCGGGGAGTGCCAGCTATCAGACAACCTCCAAAGAGAGCGAAGAGCGCATCGTGCAGAATGCCATCATTCAAACAATCGGTAAGGAAGATTCTACCCCCATCCTTTCTTATTTAAAGTGGTAGTAAACCGACACAAGAATAAAAAAAAATTGCCCCCCCAGGTTCAGTCCATGATATACTAGTATGGACCACATACTAGCACAGTATGACAAACTGACCGGCACACGGAGCCCTCCAGCACAGCACTGTAATGGCTGCCTGGCGCTTCCATCTTCACCCTGTCTTCCTTCTGGGTTCACAGGTTCTGGCTATATGAATGGCCAAGGCCGCAATGATGTCACTCCCACATATACACATGGGAGCCACGGGACAGGGCTCTGCATTTCATGGCACATTGTGCTCTATTGCCGACGTGAATATCTCCTAAATGGTATACGTTTAGGAGATATTCATTGTACCTACATGTAAGCCTGATGGTAAGCTTGCTTTTAGGTACAAACTTACCTTCAGCTCTATAAATGGCAGGGGCCACGATGACGTCACTCCCACACAGACACATGGGAGCCACAGCACAGCGCTCTGCATTTCACGGAACACTGTGTGCTATTGCCCATGTGATTATCTCCTAATTGATATACCTTTAGGAGATTTTTATTGTACCTACATGTAAGCCTGATGGTAAGCTTCCCTGTAGGTACAAGTTAAAAAATAGAGTTTATTGCCTTTCTGCGTTGGTTGAGCTGACATTAGACTGGAGGCTGGAAGGTCTGTTGCTGATGCCAAGAGTGATGCAGGAACCCATTGACCCTCTTCTCGCATCTCCTAAACAAGTGGTCTCCAAACGGTGGCCGTAGGGCTGGATGCGGCCCTCTGCTTTTTTCCGGCCCTTGGGCCATTATTCCTCCCATTGTCAGCAACAGTGATGCATAGTTACTTCCACTGACACCGACAACAAGACACTATTCCTCCCACTGACACTAATGATAGATCACTATCCCTTCTACTGGCACCAATGATGGCGTACTATTACTCCCATTGACACCAATAATGGGTCACTATTCCTTCCTCTGACACCAATGATGGGGCACTATTTTTCCTACTGATACCAATGATGAGACACTATTTCTCCCACTGATACCAATGATGGGGCACTATTCCTCCCACTGACACCAATGATGGGGCACTATTCCTCTCACTTACATCAACGATGTGGCACTATTACTCCCATTGACACCAATGAAGGGGCCACTATTCCTTGTGCTGACGCCAATGATGGGGCACTATTCCTCCCACTGACACCATTGATGGGACACTGGTTACTCTCACTACCACATTTTCTACAGTCCGGCCCTCCTAAAATTTGAAGGATAGTAAACTGGCCCCTTGTTTCGAAAGTTTGGAGACCCCTGTCCTAAACAGTTGTTATTGGAATGTCGCAGCCCAGATTCTTTGCTCCCTTTTTAAATGACTTTCATGTAATGACTGATCGGAGGGCACTCTTAAGCTGAGGCTCCAACCATTTCTTTGTTTTTTTATAGACCTCTGTTATGTTTTTATTGATTTCTATTTACTTGTTTATGAGCTTGTGTGGTCACAAGGGTAGAAAATGAGCGGCCTGATGGCCCAACTACCCACCCAGCAAAGTATATGCGCCCATCCACATTTTATTGCCCTCTACCTGCTGCAGGAATCCTTTCCAAGTAAGTTCCCCTGTCGTATTGTGTTGGGGCTTGCCCAAGTAATTTAGATTGCTGCCTTCCCACCCACTCCCCTTCCTCAGCTCACTTGACAGTGTTCTGGCCTGGCAATTGGCTGCTCAGGCCCAATATCTGTAAGAAAGAGGAAGGCACATGCTCCCCCTACCTGAAAGTCCCGCTCTGTGGAGCAGTAGAGCGAGCACCTGATGAAGCAGGGAGACAGTGTGCCAGTGAAGTTGGGTGAGTATACTTTTCTGGGGTATAGTCTAGCAGAAGACACTTATTACTTTGCCCTGAATGAGTAAGATGACAGTGCCTCTTTATAGAATGTGTCAGTTAGACCTCTTTCCTTTTATCCCCTCGTTAGGAGAAATCTTCTGGCTTATAGTAGGCTTTTTTTCTGAGGCTCTGGGGCATGCTGTTCCACATTATGTCCTGTAGAATCACAGTGGTTTTGTGGGAGGAACCACAGCACCCTTCGAGGGGACACTACATGACACAGCAGAAAGTGCTGGATAGCAACTATGCACAAAATTGACAAACTCATTGATGTCTTCCCTCGTCGCCCGCTTGAGAGAGAAACATTCACTGCCTTCTTTTGCAGGGAGCAGTGTGGATGGAATTTATTTTTTTCTTAAAAAAGTTAATGGGTGGCTTAAAGGAGACGCTGATACCCTGCCCAGGGCAAAGGTGTCCCCTCCCCCCCCCCTCTGTTGCTCACCTTGACAGCACTCCTTTGTGGCACCTTCTTCCATTGCTGCCAACACTGAAATCACTGATATCAGTGATCATGAGGAAGCTGCAGTGTCACTCCCTTAGTCTAGGTTCACACTATTGCAGCTCTGCCAGCCATGTTTGCTCAGGCACGTTCCTGCGTTTCATCCAGGAAAAAGGTTACACTATTTTTAAACCTCAGCTACAGGGAAGTCGCATGGTGCTTTTGCACCATGTGATTTCTCCGTTGTTCCCGCAACAGTTTCAGTTTTACATATGTGGGGATGCCATTAAGGATGAATGGCAGCCATGCACGTCTGTAAAGAACCTGGCCTTAGACAGTGTTTGTAATGGAACCGACCCAGACTACGCTTGGGTACTTCCGTTAGAATACCTCTTCCCTGTCCGAACACCAATCACAGACACCACAGCTGACCATACAAGACTAGACGACACCAATCTTTAAGTAAACCAGGAAGTAGACTACTTTATTTTAACACAGATACAAGACATAAACACTCAAGGGGACAATACTCCCTCCCTGCATAATGACACATTATTATTATTATACAGTATTTATAAAGCGCCAACAGTACGCTCAGCGCTGTACATTACAATGGGAAACAATACACGAGACAGTACAATAACAATACAATGCGATACACGAGGGGTTCGAGGGCCCTGCTCCTTGGAGCTTACAATCTAGGAGGGAGGGGATAGTGGTACGGGAGGAATAGCTGTGGAGGATGCAGTGGTAGGAAGAGTGGAGGAGATCGGCAATTAGCTGAGGGCAGGGTAGGCTTCCCTGAAGAGGTGGGTTTTCAGGGGGCACCTAAAGGAGAGGAGAGTAGTTAATAGTCTGATGGATTGGGGTAGGGAGTTCCAGAGGATGGATGAAGTCCTAGAGAAGTCCTAGAGGCGGGCATGGAAGGAGGAGACCAGGGAACTAGAGAGAAGGAGGTCTTGTGAGGAGCGGAGAGTACGTTTTGGGTGGTATTTGGATATCAGGTTGGTGATGTCGTTTGGGGCAGTGTTATGGACGGCTTTGTACGTCAGTGTTAGCATTTTGAATTTGATCCGTTGGGCAATTGGAAGTCAGTGGAGGGATTAGGGATTGGCAGAGGGGGGTGGCGGATACGGAGCGGTTTGTAAGGTGGATGAGTCTGGCCGCAGTATTCAGGATCGACTGCAGCGGGGATAGCCTGTGGTGAGGTAGGCCGGTGAGGAGGGAGTTACAGTAGTCAAATCGTGATATGATAAGGGAGTGAATGAGTTGCTTAGTAGTTTCCGGCGTTAGGAACGGACGTATTTTGGAGATGTTGCGGAGGTGGAGTCTACATGAGTTTGTCAGCGATTGGGGCTGGAAGGACAGATTGGAGTCTAGGATGACACCAAGTACTCTGGCTTGAGGGGTGGGACTGATGGTGGCATTGTTGGTCGTGATGGAGAAGTTGCGGGCGGGGGGGGGGGGGGGGGGGAAACTAGGAGCTCGGTTTTGGAAAGGTTCAGTTTGAGGAAGTGGCGGGGCAATCTACTTTTAGTAACAAGAGACACACCAGCAGACAGTCCCATCAGGAGGGAGGGCTGCTGGAGACACCCCCCCCCCCCCCGCCAAGCCAATACACATAAACACATGCATCCCATAATAGTTTGCTCCCAAGCAAGACACACAATAGAACAATGGGATGGAACCACATGGCATAAAACAATCACCAACCCCCCACCCCAATATTAGAACAGATCACCCTGTACCCCTAACAGGCACAGGGTGACTTACACATAATGGGGGATATGGGGAGCTGAGGCAGGGGTCTCCCCACCTCTCCAAAGTGAGCTGTGTTCCATGGGCCCCCCACCCAAAGTGACTCCCGTCACTGTGTTCTAGCCTTGTGATTGGCTGTTAAGCCTGAGCACTGTCACAGGGGATACCCTCACACCAGAAAGTGCCTTTTGGTGCTGCTGGCTGTGATGAGTTCAAGCAGAGGGGTGGGTGGGTTGGTCTTTGCAGAGATTTTGTTCCTTTGACCTGTATAGGCAACATGACAGTGTCTTCTTAACAATCTCTGCTTCCACGATCATATACGTCTAGAATTTATTTAAAGAAAGCAAGTATTGAAAGTAAACTGAAAAGTATCAATGCCAACAACACTGGGCTGTCATATTTTTTTTTTCTCTGTGCAGTAACTATTTTCTGTTAGATTTGAAGCTGAAAGTTGCATCTGTGGATGTTAGATTTACTGATGATTGTGAACATTATCTGATCTCCACCATAAATTGCCAATTATATCTGCTCTTGGAATAGGAAAATAGAAAATTAAAGCCCCAGAATTAACATATAAATAACAGGGAAGCTAAACATTGGCTTATCATCAAGTCAATTAAAAAGTTTAGACATCGGCTGTAAACTAGGTCACATTTTTAATTTTTAGAAGAGGCTCGGTGGGTTGTTTTTTTTTTTTTTTTTTGTTTTGTTTTTTTTGCAGAGATGCAGCAGTGACATCTAATGTCAAAATGATTTTTATGGTCTCTGAATTACCATAAGACTGGATACAGGTGGATTGAAATTTGGCCTCTTCAGAGGGGACTGGTTGAATTTTGATCTGTGCTTGACCCTCCCCTGTTCTGGAGTAATCGATCATTAGATTGGACATACTTGAAAACTTGCATCAATCAGTGGCAGCAGTGTTGGTCTGTGTATTCTGACAGAGGAACAAAATGGCAGTTGATTAGTGCAGAGCCGCCTGAAAGATGGTTAACCTCTTGCCGTCTGCCTGCTGTTTATAAACGGCAGGGCGGTGGCAGTCCAGGGGCGGGTTGCCGTTCATAAACGGCACCTGCCTTTTCTAGCTGTGCACGCTCCCTGGGAGCGCGCAGCACCGCGATCCGGTGCCCGCTGTGTCCTCCGGACACAGTGAAACACCGATCGTCGGACGGGACCTCTGTACAAGGTCCCGATCATGTGATCACTGATTGGCGAATCAGTGATCACATGCAAAGTAGTAAGAAAGATGTCACTTGTGACATCATTGCTTACTACGTGTGAAATCTGTGAATGATCCCAGAGGTCACATGGTACAAGGCTATTCACAACAGCCTTGTACCATGTGACAAGCTGTGACCAATCACAGCTCACTCAGTACTTCTCAATGACTGCAAGAATGCAGACAGAGAGAAAAAGAAATGATTGCTTTTACATCCTATATGGGTGTAAAAGCAATCAATGTAAAAAAAAAAATACTTCATCACCCCCCACAAGTAGTACAGTGTCACCATGGTGACACTGTTTTGCTAGGGTGACAGTATGTAAAAAAAAAAAATAAAATAAAAAATAATAATTTAAAAAAAAATCAAATAAAAATGTTTAAAAAATGATCATTTTTGGTTATTAACTAATTTGGGGGTTTTTTTTTTTACTAAAAAAATAACGGAATAAATTTTGGCCAAGATTTATGATGAAATATTATTTATTTGCAAAATTTTATTAAAAAAAAAACACTTTTTTTCAAAATTTTTGGACTTTTTCATTTACATAGTAAAAAAAAAAATAAAAATCCCAGCAGTGAATAAATACCACCAAAATAAAGCTTTATCTGTCTCAAAAAAATTGTAAAAAATTCATATGGGTACAGTATTGCATGACCGCGCAATTGTCATTCAAAGTGTGATAGCGCTGAAAGCTGAAAATTGCCCTGGACAGGAAGAGGGCAAAAGTGTCCGGACTGGAAGTGGTTAATTAAATCCTATGCGGAGTAATATATCACTACATAAGTGAATGCAATAATGAATTTATTAGATCACATGGATCATGAAAAAGGTAGACATTGACATGGTGAACATGTTGCAATCATGTTTAAAATCAAAGAATTAAATTAAAAAAAACGTTCGGCGTCTTCAAAATGGCTGTATGGGCAAAAATGATCAATGCGAGGCTGTGAAAGTTCCTTCTGTATTCATTCCATACTGGATGACCTAGTAAAAACTTGTTTTCGTCTTTAACTGTTCCTTCATGAACATCAGAAAATACATGGATGGAATCCTAGGAATAAATAGTGGATTATCATGAATTCAAGGAGACTCAAAGGTTCTCCTGAAGTATTCTTCTAAGCGTTCTTCTAAGCATTATTGGGTTTATAATCCACACTTTAGTTTAAGTGAGTCGAAGATATTACAAGGATACAGCTCTGTATCAATTAGTATGGCAATCTTTTCTTATTTTATGTATTCTGACAGAGGATGAGTTCTGCTGTTAAAATAGAATGTCCCATTGGGGGAATCCTCTATCCACTTCACTTGGGGCTGATTGAAAGAAAAGGAAAAAAAGACAAAAAACTAACCGTCTATACCTAACCTTACAGTTGGGGATTATATACATGGATTAGAGGAGAAGTATGGCTAAAGCTCTTTTGGCGTTACTTCTCCTGTAGGTCACAGGAATGCACATATTTGTATACTCCTGTGACCCATATTCTGCCAACAGCGGGAGAAAGTCCATTGTTGGCGGATGTAACAGAGGCGGTCCAGGCTCTGCTGGGATCCCGATGATAATGTCAGGCTCCACCCAGATTCCTAAACAGCAGCTGTCGGGCTGCTGAGAGCCTGAGCCAGCAGCTCCTGCCCCCTCCACAGCCTGGCACTCCAGTGAGAGCTGAAGGGGCAGAGCAGAGAGCCGGTGACTGTCCATCACTGTTCTCTGCTTAGAGCGGACCTGAGAAAAGAGCAATCAGCAGTCTTTGATTGCTCAGTTCTCGGCGTAGTGCCAGCAGGGTACAGCTGCAGCATCAGACCAATGCTGCAGCCATCTAGGTGAGTACATAAGATTTTTTTTTTTTACTTTCTCGCACTCCTCTTTTATGATAAAAGAAGCAACTTTTGATAATCACCACTCCGTCATGTGCTTTTGTGTTTTGGAGGTAGCAGCAGTCAGTACTTTTATTTCAGAGCGTTTAAACCGAAGTACCAGTTCAATTGATTCTTAGTGTTACTAAACCCAGGACCCTGCATACATGGAAATGCAATTATTTTTTAAATATAGACAAATACCGTTTCACATCAGCAGTATATAGCAGTCTTGTGACTTCTATCAGTGTCCACCAGAGCACTGGTTAAAGCTTGCAGGCTGCATAACCCCTGACCCTCTGTCTGGGCAGTGCTGATTGGCCCTGTGCTGATCATATGCATCTTGCCAAGAAATTAAAAAAAACCTTTCTAGTAGTACACAGGAAACTGAGCATGTGCAGAGTGAATTATAGAGCTCTGTAATATTTATTTATGTCAGGTACTTATATAGCGCCGTCACATTACGCAGCGCTTTACATATATATTATACATTCACATCAGTCCCTAACCCTCAAGGGGTGTACAATCTAAGGTCCCTAACTCACATTCATACATACACATACTAGGGACAATTTAGATAGGATCCAATTAACCTATCAGCATGTCTTTGGAGTGTGGGAGGAAACCGGAGTACCTGGAGGAAACCCACGCAGGCACAGGGAGAACATGCAAACTCCAGGCAGGAGGTGCCGTGGCTGGGATTCGAACCAACGACCCGAGTACTGCCAGGCGGACATGCTAACCATTTAACCACTGTGCTGCCCCATATCAATAATATCAGCAGATTGATTGGGAACAGTAGAAGAAGGGGAGGATCAGAGAAGACACTTAACCTTTTAGGTCCCACAGTGAGTATAACAAGCATGCTTTACTGCATATACAGACTGTTGTGGGTTTAGTAACACTTTAACGATCTTTGTAATCTTTCTAGAAATAATTGAAAATTTTCTGACCTTTCCCAGTGTGTACACAACTCTTCGAAAACTTTAAAACACATACTGTAGGTATGGTACCCATCAGGGGCGGACTGACAACTCATGGGGCCCCTGGGCAATAGGGGATCATGGGGCCCCTGTGTCCTTGCTCAAACTCAAAAAAGCCTATGAAAAAGGTACCAGGGGCATCTCATGGGGCCCCCTACTGACCCTTGGCCCTCGGGCAATGCCCGAGTTTCCAAATGGTCAGTCCGCCCCTGGTACCCATTTATATACCCTCTGGTCACTGCATGTGCACCCCATTATTTACTTAGGCTTTCTCACTGGGTCCCTGGCCTTGCCTTCTACCATTACTGCCTCACTAAGCCCCAGTGCAGGCACAGCAGTCTAGTCTTCCTTGAAAAAAAGAATGAATAGTAGCGATAGCCTGCCTACCTTCCTTGGCAGGTTTTATTGACTTGTATCTCATTTTTTGCAGGGTTTTTCGGAAGCAATTTACCAGACTACCAGAGGTCAGAGATTATGATGTTCATTATGGGCAAAGTGCCAGTGTTTGGATCTTCACACACACTCGATACAAGTCAGCTTGGGTAAGTGACTCTTCAAGCAGTTACAGTTCTGTAAGATATCTTCTGAGTTGTAAGTGGGCTTTCAAAAAGTGTCTCCTCCTGGAGGACATCCCTCCTGCGGGAGATGGCTTTTCCATTGATTCCCATCCCGGCGATGTCATACATGCAGTAGCACACAAGGACCCACTTTAGTAGACAGAAATGCCTCCTGTCTGCGGGTAAGGTATGGCAGAGTGGAGCAGGTTAAGACCTTGTGTATATGGACCTTTTGAGGTTTAAAAATATTCCTAGCATAAAAGTTTCATGCCTGGGGAGCCACGTACAGCCAGACGTAGAAGTGAATGGCTGTACAGGGACATAGTCAGGTAAACGCAGATGCTTTAGTACAGTGGTCTCCAAACGGTGGGCCCTGGGGCTGGATGCGGCCCTCTGCTTGCTTTCATCCAGGCCATTATTCCTCCCATTGTCAGCAGCAGTTCCTGCCACTGACACCGACAACAAGACACTATTCCTCCTACTGACACCCAATGATGGAGCCCTATCCCTTCTACTGGCACTACTGATGGGGCAATATTTCTCCCACTTACATCAATGATGAGGCACTATTACTCCCATTGACACCAATGATGGGGCACTATTACCTATCCCATTGACACCAGTGATGGGGCACTATTCCTCCCATTGACACCATTGAAGGAGCACTATTCCTTGCAGTGACGCCAATGATGGGGCACTATTCCTCCCACTGACTCCATTGATGAGGCACTATTCCTCCCACTGATACCAATGATGGGGCACTATTTACTCCCATTGACACCAGTGATGGGGCACTATTCCTCCCATTGACACCATTGAAGGAGCACTATTCCTTGCATTGACGCCAATGATGGGGCACTATTCCTCCCACTGACTCCATTGATGAGGCACTATTCCTTGCATTGACGCCAACAATGGGGCACTATTCCTCCCACTGACTCTATTGATGGGGCACTATTCCTCCCACTGACTCTATTGATGGGGCACTATTCCTCCCACTGACTCCATTGATGGGGCACTATTCCTCCCACTGACTCCATTGATGGGGCACTATTCCTCCCACTGACTCCATTGATGGGGCACTATTCCTTGCATTGACGCCAACAATGGGGCACTATTCCTCCCACTGACATCAATGATGGGGCACTATTACACCCATTACCACCAATGATGGGGCACTATTTACACCCATTACCACCAATGATGGGGCACTATTCCTCCCATTGACACCATTGATGGGGCACTAATATTTATTTATTATTTCTGGTACTTATATATCATACATATACATCAATTTACGCAGCGCCTTTACATATATATTGTACATTCACATCAGTCCCTAACCCTCAAGGGGTGTACAATCTAAGGTCCCTAACTCACATTCATACATACACATACTTGGGCCAATTTAGACAGAAGCCAATTAGCCACCAACTTGTCTTTGGAGTGTGGGAGGAAACCGGAGTACCCTGAGAAAACCCACGCAAGCACAGGGAGAACATGCAAACTCCAGGCAGGTGGTGCCATGATTGGGATTCGAACCAACGACCCTAGTACTGCCAGGCAGATTTGCTAACCATTTAGCCACTGTGCTGCTTATTCCTCCTACTGACACCAATGATCGTTCCCTGGTTACTCTCACTGACACCAAGACATTTTCTACAGTCCGGCCCTCCTAAAATTTGAAGGACAGTAGACTGGCCCTTTGTTTAGAAAGTTTGGAGACCCCTGCTTTAGTGCATTGGTGTAAACGCATGCATGCTTGTATGAGGTATTTCCCGTACGTTGAGTTTCTACGTTCAGAGAATACATCATATAATCATTCTCATGTTTACACCAATGCATTTACTCTTGTATGCCCATTTACAGCTGTTTACTTTGGCCTGCTATAAGCATCACCTATGGCTCCCTGGGCACGCAAAATGCCGGGATTGTATGCTAACCAATTTTGTAAGCCTAATGTTCATGTGAACGTAGCCTAAACCGCTAAGGTCAGCTTCGCTATAAGTGGTGTGGCTGTGCTGTGTGGCAGAGCTGTGTAAATCTTAGAACCTAATGGACAGGGAAAAAAAAAAATCTTGACAGCTCAAAAATCTTGACAGCTCCCATATATGTCTTTCACTTGTACATGGAGTATGTAAACCAAACTTTTCATATTCCTATGTGCCAGCTGTACCATGTACTTGTATGAAAAAGTACAACGGGTAAAATAAGTATTGAACTCGTCACCATTTTTCTTGGTAAATATATTTGTAAAGGTGCTATTGACATGAAATTTTCACCACGTCGGTAACAAACCATGTAATCCACGTATACAAAGAAAACAAAACAAATATGTTCAGAAATTAGGTTCTATGTAATAAAAAGACACAGGGAAAAAGTATTGAACACATGAAGATAGGGAGGAACACGAAGGCATGGAAAGCCAAGACACCAGCTGAAATCTGTCAGTAATTAGAAAGCAATCCTGTCCCTTGTCAGTGCAAATTAATATCAGCTGGTTCAGTCTGAACTGATGGCTTATAACCACATGCCTACCGGGCACTTATACCCCCTTCCTGCCCAGGCCAATTTTCAGCTTTCAGCGCTGTCACACTTTGAATGACTATTGCGCGGTCATGCAACACTGTACCCATATGAAATTTTTATCATTGTTTTTTAGACATATAGAGCTTTCTTTTGGTGGTATTTAATCACCTCTGGGTTTTTTATTTTTTGCTAAACAAACCAAAAACCACTTAAAATTTTGAAAAAAAAATGTTTTTTCTTCGTTTTGTTTTAAAATTTTGTAAATAAGTGATTTTTCTCCTTCACTGATGTGCGCTAATGAGGCTGCAGTGATGGGCACTGATGGGGAGGCACTGGTAGGTGGCACTGATGGGCATTGACAGGCATCACTGATGGGCACTAAAAGGCAACACTCATATATGGCACTGATAGGCGGCACTGATGGGCGGCATTCATGGGAACTGATAGGTGGCACTGACTGGCATTGATAGGTGGCACTGAAAGGCAGCTCAGATGGGCACTATGTGGCATTGATGTGCACTGGTAGGCAGTGATATGTGGCATTGATGGGCACTGGCAGGTGGCACTGATGAGCACTGACAGCTGGCATTGATGGACGCTGAGAGGTGGCACTGCTGGGGCTACACTGATCATCAGGGCACACTGATCATCAGTGCCCTGATGATCAGTGTACATGTCCTCTCTGAAGAATGCCGATTACCGGCTTTCCTCTCCTCCCGAGCTGTCAGCGTGACAGCTCGTGAGGAGAGACATGCCAATAACCGGCATTTCCCTATTTTCATGCGATCAGCTGTGATTGGACAATAAACAATATCAATAACGATAAATAGTGTACTCAACCGCCATGGCCTGTATGCATGTTCACCGCGCAAGACTCCATTGCTGAAGAAAAAGCATGTTTAAGCTCGTTTAAAGTTTTCTGAACATTTAGACAAGCCTGTGAAATACTGGGAGAATATAGTCTGGTCAGATGAGACCAAAATTGAACTCTCTGGATGCCATGATACACACTGTTTGGAAGTCAAATGGCACTTCACATCACCCCAAAAACACCATCCCAACAGTGAAGCATGGAGGTGGGAACATCACGGTGTTGGGGCTGTTTTTTAGCATATGGTACTGGCAAACTTGATTTGATTGAAGGAAGGATGAATGGAAAAATATACCTGGACATTCTTGACAAAAATCTGCTGCCGATGAAGATGAAGCGAGGGCGGACATTTCAGCAAGACAATGATCCCAGCACAAAGCCAAGGAAACTCTTAACTGGTTTCAAAGAAATAAAATAAAGCTGCGAGAATGGTCCAGACAATCACCTGACTTGAATCCAAAAGAAAATCTATGGAAAGAACAGAGTTCGTAGAAGAGGCCCACCGAACCTTCAAGATTTGAAGATTGTTTGTGTGGAAGGATGGGCCCAGATCACACCTGAGCAATGCATGTGACTAGCTTCTCCATACAGGAGTCATCTTGGAGCTGTCATTACCAACAAAGGACTTTGTGCCAAGTATTAAATAAATTTCAGTTAGCGTGTTCAATACTTTTTCCCTGTGCCATTCCATTTTATTACACATAAAGTTATTTCTGAACTTATTTGTTTTGGTTTCTTTGTATGTATGGATTGCGCGGGTTGTTACCGACATCTGGTGAAAATTTCATGTCAATAACACTGTTAGAAATATATTTACCGAGAAAAATGGTGACATGTTTCAATATTTATTTTATTGTATCCTGTTTTTTGTATTGCTTTCTTTGTGTGAGATCCCTGGTGTTCCTGCCAGTCCCTCTGCTTTCCTATCAAAAACCGACATGAGCACAGCATGGTCAGTTCTCTAGCTGTGCTGGGAACTCGGCCTGTTTCTCCAATGATCAGACTTGTCCTGACACGCTCCCCCCCCTGCACAGCCATTTACTGGGAAGATTAGTGCACTGATGTTTCTGCTCCCCCAGCTCTTATGCAGCTGAGAGGGTATGTGATCACTTGTAAAAAGGGGGAAAAAAGTGTTTATAATGTTTTGGGTTTTTTTTTATATCTGTACACAAGTGTTTTTCCTTTCATTTTCTATTTTAAATGGAATGGGTTGTTTTACAAGGTGAGGGCTTACATTACTTTTTTTTTTTTCCCTAGAATGCAACTTTGGGGAGCAATGAAGGCCTCACATTGCTCCTCTTTGAAAATCTTGCTGAACAGGCATTACACATTGGTTGGACAGCTGGGTTATTCCTGATAAAGGCATACCTGTTAGAATTTTTGGGTTGCTTCCACTTGCTGCAAGCTATGGTGGAACTGTAATGGCCAGCATTCTGGAGAACCTGTATATGCGTAGATTTGATTCTTGCAGCGCTAAAGCAGTTAATGAGAAATGTAATGCACTGATGTCTGTTACCATGGCAGCAGTCACATGTTACCACGGCAACACGACATGCACTTAGGTGCTTCGGGTAGACTTGAGCTTCATTGTTAAAAACTGGTAACAGGACTAATCTCTTGGAGGAATGAAGAAGCGGCTTCTACTTTTACTAGAGTAGCATATGACGAAGTACGTAAGACAGACTGTATAGTAGTAACGTGACGATTGTATACAAGCGAGACAACAATTTTACTGTCATACGGACGATGCATCGGGCAGCCATGGTCTTCTGGGCATAGGAGCCAATGGTCACCTGGGGAAATGACCGCAGTGTCAAAATATATCCCCTCCAGTGAGCTATGATTTCCAAGCCTCACCTGCGCTTGTTTTACTTCGCGGGATCGGCCTATAAAACATTTGCTCAAGCATTCATGAAGCTGTCACAAATAATCCCAATATTTGGCTAATATGTTTATTTCCTATGATCGTTACCTCCAACTAGTGGCCATAATAAGGTGGGTAGGAGATAATAATATATTAACCACTTGCCGAATGACAGCTACAGCGCGGTTGTCCAGTTCTGGGAAGGCGTCATATGACGTCCTCCCAGAATGCGCCCTCCTGGGGGCACGCGGGGGCACGCACCCAGCGATCTCCGTGATTGGTGTCCTATGGACACAGTTGATCACGTGATGTAGTAAAAGGCCAATTACAGTGGCCTTTTACCACGTGATCAGCTGTGTCCAATAACACAGCAGATCACCGGTAAATGCAGTTGCCGGTTATAGGCTGCATCGATAACTAGCGATTGTCAGCGGACAGATCGGCACCAATCACCGGGGCACTGATGATCTGTGCCCAGCAATGCCACCAACCTGTGCCCATCAGTGCCAAGTAGTGCCACCCACCTGTGCCCAGCAGTACCACCCAGCAGTGCTGTCAGTAGGTGCTGTCAGTCAGTGCTGCCGATCAGTGCCGCCGATCAGTGCCCATCGTTGCATATCAGTGCCGCCTATCCGTGTGTCGCCTATCAGTGCCTCCTATCCATGCCACCTCATCAGTGCCGTCTATCTGTGCCACCTCATCAGTGCCGCCTATCTGTGCCACCTCATCAGTGCTGTCTCTCTGTGCCACCTCATCGGTGCCGTCTATCCGTGCCACCTCATTGGTGCAGTCATCCGTGCCACCTCATTGTGCTGCCCTATCAGTGCAGCCTCATCAATGCACATTAGTGAAGGAGAAAAATTACCGGTTTGCTAAATTTTATAATGGAAACAAAGAAAAACTTTTTTCACATTTTTTGCTCTTTTTTTTTGTTTATAGCGCAAAAAATAAACTCCCAGCAGCGAATAAATACCACCAAAAGAAAGCTCTATTTGTGTGAAAAAAATTATAAAATTTTCATATGGGTACAGTGTTGCATGACCGCGCAATTATCACTCAAAGTGCAACAGCGCTGAAAGCTGAAAACTGGCCTGGGCAGGAAGGGGGTATAGGTGCCCGGCAGGCAAGTGGTTAAGGGAAATACAGGCATTATTTATGACGAAAGGACATTTTTAATAGACCTGTGTGTGTATACAGTGTGTATGGGTATACGCACACACACAAACAGGGGTTGGACAAAATTATGGAAACACCAAGTAAAAGAACAAAATCATTACCTAATATGATGTTGCTCCACCTTTGGCATCCAAGACAGCCTGAGTTCTCCTGGGAAGTGACAAATATTCTTAGATAGTAGATAATGGAATCTGATACCACTCTTCATGCACAAAAATTCTACCACTCTTCATGCACAAAAATTCTTCCATTGAGATGCAGGAGGCAGAACCTAAACCTTGTTCCCCAAAATTGACCATGGTGGCTCTATGATATTGAGGTCCGGTGACTGCGGCAACTAGGGAAGGTGCGAAACTTTGTCTGCATCCATGATTTGACAACACCAGCTGTGTGAACCTGAGCATTATCGTCTTGGTAAATGGCGCTGTCTTTTGGAAACACTGTCTGCACCATGGGGTGCACATGGTCCGCCCAAAATTTCACAAAGTCACTGACAGTGATTTTACCTGTCAAGGTGATGATGGGACTTGAAGAATACCAAGATATGGCTGCCCAAACCATGATTGGACCTCCGCCATGCTTTACCGTTAGCACAAGACACTCTTGACAGTGGGACAGTGTTCTTCACACGTGAACATCTTACAGCTTTGGAAGACTGAGATTAAGCTCTGCAGATACTTTGCTACAGTTGTTTTTTTTTCATTCTGGGTCACAATCCTAAAGTGTCCATTTTGTCTTGTTCAGGCAGTTGACCACGTCAGCCGCTCGTATGCTTATCACATGACATTGTCCCGGAAACTGTATTTGCAATCATAACCTTTGATCCTGTACCTCACTATATATATATATATATATATATATATATATATATATATATATATATATATATATATATATATATTAGCAAATAAATTTGCAACTTCAAGCACAGAGGCACCAGCTAAGCGGCACCAACAATTTGCTCTCTTTGATGCTCAGCAAGCTCTGACATGACTTCGTATTACTAGCAGCGCGCGGTCAGTGAATCACAAACGTGAGGCTTCCCACCTGTTAGCTAGGTGTCTCATCACACAGTGGAAGCAAAAGTATGTTGCATCACTTCTGCTTTCCATAAGAAACATGTTGTCACTTTCACACCTGCAAATCATGTAGTGTTTCCATATTTTTGCCCAACCCCTATAAGTATATAGTTCCATGGTTAGCCATGGCACTCTGTTTGAAATATATGCCCGGGTGCTCACCCAAAAAGAAATCTTATAAATCCAAAACTGGTATTATTACAGGTACTTGTATAGCACCATCAATTTACACAGCGCTATATATATATATATATATATATATATATATATATATATATATATATACTGTATATATAGTGAGGTACAGGATCAAAGGTTATGATTGCAAATACAGTTTCCATGACAATGTCATCTGATAAGCATACGAGCGGTTGAATAATATATATATATATATATATATATATATATATATATATATATATATTCACATCAGTCCCTAATCCTCAAGGGGCGTACAATCTAAGGTATAGAGACACTCATGGATCTTGCAGAGAAGGAAGATCAAACACAGCAGTGTTTTTATTGTCCATGTTTCGATGAAGCTCAGTGCATCTTTTTTTTAGGGTAGGTTGTTCTAAACATCTTGGAAAAGTAACCACAGAACTTCTGTGGATGTAGGCTGCCTCAAATCCCTTTGTGTCTTCATATGATCTCAGACAGACTCGATGTTGAGATCAGGGCCCTGTTTGGTCCAAACTATCACTTCAAGATCACCTGCTGCCATTTTTCTGCACACCAGTTCCTTTGTTTTTCATGCATAGTTGAGTTGCTTCGCCTTGTTTCCAAGTCAGAGCTTTGGCTTTTTGTCTGAAATTCTTCCATAAAGACCACATCTGGCCAGACTTGTCTGGACAGTAGATGGGTGTACCTGGGTCCTGCTGGTTTCCACCAGTTCTGTGCTGATGTCACTGCAGGATATCTTGCAGTGCAGAAGGGGAGTAAACATGATGTGTCTTTAATCTGATGAAATAAGTTTCTATGGCCAATCACTGCGTCTACAGTCCTCAGCATTGCCTGATCAATGATGTCCTCGGTGCTGAGCAATACAGACAGATACTTATCCATCATGCCATACCATCAGGGAGGTGTATGATTGGCCCCAAATTTATTCTGCAGCCGAACAATAACCCCAAACATACAGCCAATGTCATTAAGAACTATCTTCAGTGTAAAGAACAAGGATTCCTGGAAGTGATAGTTTGGCCCTCACGAAGCCCTGATCTCAACATTATGGAGTCTGTCTGGGATTGCATGAAGAGAAGAAGTATTTGAGGCAACCTACATCCACAGAAGATATGCGGTTAGTTTTCCAAGATGTTTGGAGCAACTTACCTCCCGAGTTCCTTCAAAAACTGTGGAAGTGTACCTAGAAGAATTGATTCGGTGTTGGATTTCTGTTGTTCATTTACTTTTTCTTTTTTTTTTTTTACTTATTTCGTTAATTAGGGGGGAAAAAAATCATATTAAGACCCCTATTTCTATTTATATAAAAAAATAAATCAGGCTGGTACAGGATACGCTGCTCTAAAATAAACCAAATGGGAAGGTTTAAAACTGGGCCTGTAAGAATTTTTGCTTGTTATAGTGATGTCTGTATAGTGATGTCTGTATACACAGTGTGTTTGATGTTTTTTTTTTTCTTTTTTTAATTTAATTTTTTTTTTTTTAATTACAGAGATTTGGGAACAAAAAGAATCCAGATTATGCTGCTGAGGTCACTACTCATGGTAAGTGTGGGCTGTCTGGTTATTTGTTTTGAACATACAGAGTTCACAAACATACATAACTTAGACTTGAATGGGTCTTTGCTCTTGCAGTATGGGTATCTCCCATTCAAATCAATGGGGTATTAGAGAGCAGTCAGTAGGGGGAGGGGGATGTCAGGTTAGCATAGTTAAGGATACTTGGGGAAAGTGATAATACAGTACTAAACGTATCCTTTAATTGATTGAAATTCATTGTGGTGATATTCCTTTTTATGGAGTCTCTCAAAAAAATGTTCAGAGACTGGCTTCTAAAATTCTAAGCAGAGGTGGGCTCCTATGTCTGCAGGGTGTGCAAGCACAGAGAAATGCATTGTGGGATGCATGTGGAGGGTGTGCCTGTTTCAGGAAGTGGGGATAAGTTAACCTCCTGGCATCTTATGGTGTCTGCTCAAACTCACCTCCTGTTACTTCCTCACCAGCACACTGGTCTTCTTCTGGGTTTGGGATCTTCAGCCATCTTGATTCCCTGGGCAAGAAGGACTTGCCTCTCACACATGCATGGGAGTTCATTCATCTTGGCATTGGGGTGTCCCAAGAATGTACCCTGAGCATGCCCAGCTCAGTGTACTTATATAGACGATTATGAACAGGCAAGTTTTTTTATTTTGTTTTTTTTTAGGTGTAGCAGAGGCATAGCATGTCTCTTCAGTAATAAAAAGCCTCTCTGCTTCTCTTTTTTTTTCATTACACGTTGGCCTGTTTCACACAGGCTTCAGCTTGTAGAAGAGCAGTTTGAACAGCAAGCTTTGACAAAGCATTTGTGGACCTTTCTGCAAGCTTTGTTGAAGCTAATGGGAGTGTTGGCTGTCACTTTAAACAAGCTGGTAGCAGGCTTTCAACAAGTGCTGAAGCCTGCTAGCAGCTTACTTAAAGTGGCAATCAGCTCTCCCATTAGGATCTGTGCTCAACATTTACAAACTGCAGCTGAACTTTGGTACTTTAAAAGCTTCAACAAAGCATGCTGTTCACACTGCTTCAATACAAGCTGAAGCCTGTGTGAAACAGGCCTTTAAGTAATATTAACCCCTCAGTTTTTTTAAGCACTGTCAGCAGTTTATTTAATCACCAAGGCCTTATTCACGCATTTGTCAATACCATGTGTTTACGTGACCGTTATTTGGCATTTTTAGATTAGATTAGATTCAACTTTATTTTCATTGTGCAAAGTATATGTACAGAGCCAATGAAATGCAGTTAGCATCCTGCCAGAAGTGCATAAATGGCCCATTTACAATAAATAACAATATAACAAAAATCAAGGTATGGAATATACAGTAATACCATAATCAGTGCAATGAGTAGTGCATTAATGGATGAAATATTCAGTAATGCAATGGTGAATACAATATATAGTATTTCAATATTATCTAATGATTAGCTGTTCAATGCTTTAACAGCCACAGGGAAAAACTATTTTTCAGTCTATTTGAAAGCCTCATAACCGCCTTTCAATGCCTGCCATGAATATTACAATGGTACCACACAATGCTGTTCACACAGGAGTATTAAAAATTAAGCAGCAAGTCGCTATCATCAGGCATCAGTGCTTGTCAACCACCTCCATTGATTTCAATGGTGAAGACAAATAACCACACCTTAACAGCACCTAGAGCATTTATAGTGTGTTAGTGAAGCATTTATTAATTGTTAACTGGGCATTGGGGGGGAAAACGGACACAAATACAATGGCTACTTTATTAGGTACACCTGTTCAATTGCTTGGTAACACAAATTGCTAATCAGCCAATCACATGGCAGCAACTCCGTGCATTTAGGCACCTGCAGTATGTAACTATGTAATATCCTCAAAAGATTCCAAGAATCTGGAGAAATCTCTGTGGCACAAGTATTGAGCCCTGGGGTGGCACTGCATTAAAAACAGACATCATGCTAGCGTAGGCTCAGGAATAAGTCCAAATATCACTGTCTGTCCAAAAATGCAAGGTAAAGCTCTATCATGTAATGAGGAGGCCTTATCGGACCATGATCCAGAAGCTCTGCTGTCTTCTCTGGGCCACAGCTCGCTGTCCAAAAATGCAAGGTAAAGCTCTACCATGTAATGAGGAAGCCTTATCTGACCATGATCCAGAAGCTCTGCTGTCTTCTCTGGGCCATAGCTTGCTGTCCAAAAATGCAAGGTAAAGCTCTACCATGTAATGAGGAAGCCTTATCTGACCATGATCCAGAAGCTCTGCTGTCTTCTCTGGGCAACAGCTTGCTGTCCAAAAATGCAAGGTAAAGCTCTACCATGTAATGAGGAAGCCTTATCGGACCATGATCCAGAAGCTCTGCTGTCTTCTCTGGGCCATAGCTCGCTGTCCAAAAATGCAAGGTAAAGCTCTACCATGTAATGAGGAAGCCTTATCGGACCATGATCCAGAAGCTCTGCTGTCTTCTCTGGACCATAGCTCGCTGTCCAAAAATGCAAGGTAAAGCTCTACCATGTAATGAGGAAGCCTTATCGGACCATGATCCAGAAGCTCTGCTGTCTTCTCTGGGCAACAACTCGCTGTCCAAAAATGCAAGGTAAAGCTCTACCATGTAATGAGGAAGCCTTATCGGACCATGATCCAGAAGCTCTGCTGTCTTCTCTGGACCATAGCTCGCTGTCCAAAAATGCAAGGTAAAGCTCTACCATGTAATGAGGAAGCCTTATCTGACCATGATCCAGAAGCTCTGCTGTCTTCTCTGGGCAACAGCTCGCTGTCCAAAAATGCAAGGTAAAGCTCTACCATGTAATGAGGAAGCCTTATCTGACCATTATCCAGAAGCTCTGCTGTCTTCTCTGGGCCACAGTTTATTTAAAATGGTCTGTTTCAAAGTGGAAAACTGTTCTGTGGACACATAAGTCAAAATTTGACATTCTTTTTGGCAATCATGGGTGGTTTGTCCTCTGGACTAAAGAGGAGAGGGACCTTCCGGCTTGTTATCAAAGCTCAGTTAAAGCCTGCATCTCTGATGGTGTGGGAGTGCATTAGTGCGCATGGAACAGGCAGCTTGCACATCTGGAAAAGTACCACCAATATTTGGAGCATCTTGAAACCAAAAAAAAAGACAAAGAAAACCTAGGACTGTTGAGCAGTTGGAATCCTATATCAGGCAAGAATGGGACACCATACCTCTCCCAAAACTCCAGCAACTGGTCTCCTCAGTTCCCAAACATTCACAGAGTGTTGTAAACCTCTTGCCGTTCAGAGGATTTACCCCCCTTCCTGACCAGGCATTTTTTTTTGCGAAATGGCACTGCGTTACTTTAACTGACAATTGCACTGTCATGAAAACGCTGCACCCAAATGAAATTTATGTCCTTTTTTTCCCCACAAATAGAGCTTTCTTTCAGTAGTATTTGATCACCTGTGCGGTTTTTATTTTGTTGTACTATAAACAAAAAAAGACAAACAATTTAAAAAAAACATTTTTGACTTTTTGCTTTTAAACATGTCCAGTAAAAATATTTAAAAAATCAAATTTCATTATAAATTTAGGCCAAAATGTATTCTGCTCCATGTCTTTGCTAAAAAAAAAAATTCCCTATTCATGTAAATTAATTGGTTTACGTAAATGTTATAGCGTTTACAAATGGCAGTATAGATACTGGATTGTTTTTTTTTTTTTTTTTTTCCTTGTTACTAGTAATGGCGGCGACCAGTGACTCATAGCGGGACTGTGGCGGGCATTCTGACACTGGGGGGAACTGATTTGGTGTCACTGACATCCCCAGTGACACCTGTACAGTGATCAGTGCTAATAAAAAGCACTGACACTGTATAATTGCACTGGGCAGGAAGGGGTTAACATGTTGGGCAATCAGAGGGTTAACTGTGTGCTGTGCCGTGTTTTGCTATGTGGGCTGTGTCTGTGTTTCACTGTAAGCACACTGCTTTGTATGGCTGTGCTATGCACAGCCATACAAAGCCGTGTGTAAGAGCTGACAGAGGAGAGATCTGTGTTGTTTATACACAGGTCTCTCCCCTGTCAGAGATACTCGGCGATCACCGGGTGCCGACGAGTAATCACCGGCTAGAACCCGGTGATTGACAGCCGAGGCTGCGATTGGCAGCGCGGGTAGGGTGCACCCCCTACCCGGAAATGCAAAATCATGTATATATACATGATTTTGCTCACCCATGCCACCCTGTAGCTGTATTTCTGCTACAGGGTGGAGGGGAAGCGGTTAAAGAAGAGATGCTACACTATGGTTAACACATGGTCCTGTCCCAGCTTTTTTGACATGTGTTGCTGCCATCAATTTCAAATTACTAGATTTTTTTCTCTTAAATTGGTACATTGGAACATTTGATATGTTTTTTTTTTTTTTATTGTGAATACAAATATGAGATCTTGAAAACGATTACATTTTGCTTTTATGTAGATCTTACAAACACAATTCCCCAAAATGTTGGACACTGTAACAACTTTTAGCAGTTTATTTTGGTTTATTTGGTATATTGTAAATGATTTCCCTTTTTCCCTGGCAGGTGACCTCAGGTTATAAATCAAAGACCATAGCAGCAGCGCTGCCCTCACCAATCCTGGACCCTCTGCTGTCACCATCTCTGATGGAAGATTCGGAGCTGCGCCAGCTTGTGCTAGAGATTTTGCACAATCTTATAGATCGCCATGACAACAGAGCCAAGCTGCGAGGGATCAGGTACCCCTCCGATAAAAGCAGATTTGCTAACCTCTGTCCATTTTCTTTTGCAGGATTCTAGTTACTAAATGTACACAAGTATACAGTCGGTCCATAAATATTGGGACATCGACACAATTCTAACATTTTTGGCTCTATACACCACCACAATGGATTTGAAATGAAACGAACAAGATGTGCTTTAACTGCAGACTGTCAGCTTTAATTTGAGGGTATTTACATCCAAATCAGGTGAACGGTGTAGGAATTACAACAGTTTGCATATGTGTCTCCCACTTGTTAAGGGACCAAAAGTAATGGGACAATTGGCTTCTCAGCTGTTCCATGGCCAGGTGTGTGTTATTCCCTCATTATCCCAATTACAATGAGCAGATAAAAGGTCCAGAGTTCATTTCAAGTGTGTTATTTGCATTTGTAATCTGTTGCTGTCAACTCTCAAGATGAGATCCAAAGAGCTGTCACTATCAGTGAAGCAAGCCATCATTAGGCTGAAAAAACAAAACAAAAACCCATCAGAGAGATAGCAAAAACATTAGGCGTGGCCAAAACAACTGTTTGGAACATTCTTAAAAAGAAGGAACGCACCGGTGAGCTCAGCAACCGCAAAAGACCCGGGAGACCACGGAAAACAACTATGGTGGATGACTGAAGAATTCTTTCCCTGGTGAAGAAAACACCCTTCACAACAGTTGGCCAGATCAAGAACACTCTCCAGGAGGTAGGTGTATGTGTGTCAAAGTCAACCATCAAGAGAAGACTTCACCAGAGTGAATACAGAGGGTTCACCACAAGATGGAAACCATTGGTGAGCCTCAAAAACAGGAAGGCCAGATTAGAGTTTGCTAAACGACATGTAAAAAAGCCTTCACAGTTCTGGAACAACATCCTATGGACAGTTGAGACCAAGATCAACTTGTACCAGAGTGATGGGAAGAGAAGAGTATGGAGAAGGAAAGGAACTGCTCATGATCCTAAGCATACCACCTCATCAGTGAAGCATGGTGGTGGTAGTGTCATGGCGTGGGCATGTATGGCTGCCAATGGAACTGGTTCTCTTGTATTTATTGGTGATGTGACTGCTGACAAAAGCAGCAGGATGAATTCTGAAGTGTTTCGGGCAATATTATCTGCTCATATTCAGCCAAATGCTTCACAACTCATTGGACGCCGCTTCACAGTGCAGATGGACAATGACCCAAAGCAGACTGCAAATGCAACCAAAGAGTTTTTTAAGGGAAAGAAGTGGAATGTTATGCAATGGCCAAGTCAATCACCTGACCTGAATCCGATTGAGCATGCATTTCACTTGCTGAAGACAAAACTGAAGGGAAAATGCCCCAAGAACAAGCAGGAACTGAAGACAGTTGCAGTAGAGGCCTTGCAGAGCATCACCAGGGATGAAACCCAGCATCTGGGGATGTCTATGCGTTCCAGACTTCAGGCTGTAATTGACTGCAAAGGATTTGCAACCAAGTATTAAAAAGTGAAAGTTTGATTTATGATTATTATTCTGTCCCATTACTTTTGGTCCCTTAACAAGTGGGAGGCACATATGCAAACTGTTGTAATTCCTACACCGTTCACCTGATTTGGATGTAAATACCCTCAAATTAAAGCTGACAGTCTGCAGTTAAAGCACATCTTGTTTGTTTCATTTCAAATCCATTGTGGGGGTGTATAGAGCCAAAAATGTTAGAATTGTGTCGATGTCCCAATATTTATGGACCTGACTGTATATAGCATACACAGTCCTTTAATATGGATCCTGCAGTAATATGAAAGGCCTACATATTATTTCAGGGCCCTTTCTCCATTCTAAATGGCAGCAAAAAAGTTGTTCAATGTGCTTACATTACCCCCAGCTTCCTTAACCACTTCCAGACCGGACACTTTTACCCCCTTCCTGTCCAGGCCAATTTTCAGCTTTCAGCGCGGTCATGCAACACTGTACCCATATGAATTTTTTAGCATTTTTTTTAGACAGATTAAGCTTTATTTTGGTGGTATTTATTCACCACTGGGATTTTAATTTTTTGTGCTATGTAAATTAAAATGTCCAACAATTTTGAAAAAAAGTGTTTTTCTTGTAAAATTTAGCAAATAGTATTTCATCATAAATCTTGGCCAAAATGTATTCCGTTATTTTTGTAGTAAAAAAAAAAAAATAGTTTATAACCAAAAATTATAATTTTTAAACTTTTTTTTTTACATTTTTTTTTTATTTATAATTTTTTTTTTTAACTTACTGTCACCCTAGCAGTACAGTGTCATAATGGTGACACTGTACTACTTGTGGGGGTGATGAAGATTATTATTATTTTTTTTAATTTTTACACGGATTGCTTTTACACCCATAAAGGATGTAAAAGCAATCATTTCTCCTTCTCTCTGGCTGCATTCTTGCAGCCATTGAGAACTACTGAGTGAGCTGTGATTGGTCACAGCTTGTCACATGGTACAAGGCTGTTGTGAATAGCCTTGTACCATGTGACCTCTGTGATCATTCACAGATTTCACACATAGTAAGCAATGATGTCACAAGTGACATCTTGCTTACTACTCTGCATGTGATCACTGATTGGCCAATCAGTGATCACATGATCGGGACCTCGTACAGAGGTCCTGTCCAACGATCGGTGTTCCACTGTGTCCGGAGGGAGCGCGCACAAGCAGGGTGTAGGGAGGCCGTTTATAAACGGCCACCCGACCCTGCACTGCCACTGTCTGGCCGTTTATATACAACAGCCGGACGGGAGGTGGTTAATGCAGTAAGTGACACCTTCATTCTACTGGATAGATTCCAGGGAATAGTGAGTAGATGCTTCCACACTGTGATGAAGCATCCTCGCACTCTCTGCTTTAACCACTTTCCGTCCATAGAACTTACCCATCCATAGGACATACTAAAAGTGTGATATCCCAGTCATCGCTGAAGCAATGATGGAGCTATCATAGAGATTCTGCACCTTGTAAAAGTGATTCAAGCGGCTAAAGAACTTGTGGATTCATTTTATGGCCAGTGGTGTAAGAGGGTCCCCCCACCCTCCCGCCTCTGCTGCCTTTACTGAGCTCTCCTGCTTAGACAGGGAGCCCAACAAGGATGCGATCAGCAACATCTGGTCCCTGAGACAGTGAGAGGAACGGATGTCTTTCCTCCCACTGTGTGATTTCAGAAACCGTAATCGACTAGGATTTCAATACTTCCCGTTTCAGTCTCAAGTAAACAAGCCATTACCAGATTCTAAAAGCATCACATCAAACCGATCTCTGTTTGATCTGATGATGTGGAGGCCACAGGAGACATCTGGAGTCTAAGGGCTCGTGTACACTGCAGCTGATAAACTCACGTTTAGGAGCTGTTCAGCATTTTTTTTCAGCATTTCCTGAACTCACCCTAATGTTTTCCTATATGTCAGTGTACACATCTTCATTTACAGGCATTTGAGTTTACAGTCGATTTTTGGAACACAGAAAACTTGCGTTCAGCAGTTGATTTTATCAGCGTTTCAAACGCAAAACGCTTGTAAACGAGGAAAATCACACTTATATGCGTTTTCATTTTTTTATAACTCTTCCAGTTCCCAATGCTGTTCAGAGCCTTTTTTCATCATGAAATCTGCATACAAAGCGATTTCAAGGTACAAAACACTGAACACAGGATGTTCCTACCAAGCTTGTCACCTATTGTAATGATCAATTCACACCTCAGACCTCTCCCACCCTTGGAAACAAAAGATATGTTAATGACCATTCACACCTCAAATTCCTCCTGAAGACCCCCTGCCAGGTGGCCTTAATGACTCCCTCCACCAGACAACTTTCCCACCCTTGAAAACAAAAGAAATGTTAATGAGCAACTCACACCTAAGCTAATCTCAACACATCCTGCTGTCTCTGCTTCTATGTCTGTATTTCTCTGAAAAAGTCTGAAATAGTTAATAATTTACCACTTTTCACTGCATTCTGGGCATTTGGGAGGTTCTCCTGTGCTTATCTTTAAAAAACGCTTCTAAACGCAAACGCGCATAAAGGTATTATGCAAACGCGGCTAAACAGACATTTTTTAACCTACGTTTTCCAGCAGTCAGTTTCCATCGTTCAGAAGTGTCCCGTGTACATGGGGCCTAGACCCCAGATCTCTCCAAAAAAAGGATCTATCCTCGCCCATTAAAAAAAGAAAAACCCTTCAAAGAAAATAAAATGTTTTTTAAAAATGTTTAACATGTCCCTGTTCCCACGTGCTCACAAGCAAATGGGATTACTTGCGTCCGTCCTACATACATATGTAAACAGCAATTGCACCACACATGTGAGGTATCCCCATGAACGTCAAAGTGAGAGTAAAAATTCTAACACCTGAACGTCTATTTAGCTCTAAATTAGTAACCTGTAAAGGCTTTTAAAGCATCGCCTATAGACATTTTTAGGTAGTGAAGTTTGGCACCGATCAACTGGCGTACATAATTTTAAAGCTTCACATGTTTGGTAACTTATTTAGTCGAAATAACATCACCTTTTATATTTTACTAATCAATTGGGTATTATATTGTGTTTTTGTACATTAAATATCATCAAAGTACATTTTTTGTCCAAAAAAAATGCTGCACAAATATCATTTGACATAAAAAAATATGCAACGCCCACAATTTTATTCTCTAGGGCCTCTGGTTAAAAATATATGTTAGGGGGTTCTAAGTAATTTTCTAGCAAAAAAAAAAAAAAATTGCTGATTTTTACATGTAGATCAGGAAAGTCAGAATTGACCCGGACTGGAACTTGTTAGTAAGGACGCCAAACAACTTCTCCTTATGGGGACGGCCATGAAACTGATTTCTTCATAGTACGGTTTCCTCCCACACTCCACAGACGACATGCTGGGAGGTTAATTGGCTCCTGTCTAAATTGTCCCTAGTATGTGTATGTATGAATGTAAGTTAGGGACCTTAGATTGTACGCCCCTTGAGGGCTAGGGACTGATGTGAATGTTCAATATATATGTA